TCTTCTAGACCATCTGAGATGAGCTCAGGCCCAGAGGACTCGCCGGCATCTCCACATAGAACTGATGTAAAGCTTTCTCCTTGCGTAACAGAGATTCAAGTGGCATTTCTTGATGCAGCGTCAGACTGTGTTCAGTGAAAATGGTTTTCCAAATTACTCCTGAACACATGTGGCTGTACTTCACGGATTAGCATGATGGTATCTTGTGCAATGCCATCTGAGGGCTCAAAGGTCACGCACATTCAACGGAGGTCTACTGCCTTACCCAACACAGACTGAGATTTCTCTGGATTCCCTGAATCTTGTGACAATATTATGTATAGAAGTAAGATGATAAAAGACATAAATTCTTTGCAATCTTGCATTGAGAAATGTGATTTTTTTAATTGTTTGACAATTCTCTCATGATATTTGGCACAAAGTGATGACAAAAGCCATGACCCATCTTTGCTTAAAAAGATTGAGAAGCACTTTTACACCCAAACACGATACCCTCAACTATTACCAATTCACCTGCTCATTGTGGACTGTTTCAAAAGAGTTGGATAATCTAATTTGGATAATCTTTTCACTTTTATTTGGTCTCTGTCCCAACTTTTTTGGGGTGTGTTGCAGCCATCAAAATCAAAATTTGTGTATATTTACAAAATACAATTATGTTGGTCAGTGAAAACATTGGAAAACGTTTCTTAGTTAAAAAAGTTTAAATAGAATTAACAAATCACAGATTCTTGATTTTATTGCATTTTACAAAATGTCCCAACTTTTTCTGATTTGGGGTTGTATTAATTCCTTTGTTTTTCCCTCCAAAAAAGTGTTCATTTTAAAGAAATGGTTAGTTATATGTTCATAATTGATATGTGATAATAATTGATTGTGACTAAAAAAAATCACTTAATTAAGGCAATTGTTTTATTTTGTAAAAATTGTATATTTTAAGAAAAACACAAAGTCATTTGTTGTTGTTTTTTAATTTTAGTTTTTTTTTTTTAAATAATTTAATTTATTAAACAATGGTGTAAATGATGGACAAAATAAAACAAAACAAAAACAGTGGTTTAACTTTAAAAAAAAAAAAAATTAAGTAACAGGAATAAACACTTGGTAACAGGAATGTGTGTCTGTATGCGTGTGAGATAGTGTACATGGCCGTGTCTGTGAGCAATGCATGTGTGTGCATGAGACTTCTGTGTTGAAGGGATATGTTATGTGCTAGTAGTAGGCTACTTCACAGCGAAGGAGGTCAAAAGAGAAAGAGGAGAAAAAAGATTTTCAGGTGTGAGCTATGACTCACTCTTTCCTTGGTTGGGTGTGTCTGTTTATTGGTTCTCTCCATCTTCTACGAAAGATAATAAAGACAAAAAGTTTAATTCACTTAGCAGTGGAGCTGGTTCCCATGGCATTTACATTGTAAAACTAATCCAAAATGTCTACAATTTAAGTAATTTCAACTGTAAAACTCATAAAACAGATTAATAATATTATATGAACTAATATTCACACTATTAAGTCAACAAACCAGAGGACTCTACACTCCTGTTAATTTAACTCACTCTTGTTATTTTTTCATGTGAATAAGGACTGAATAGGATTTAGTTTTTTAAGCAAAAAATTATCAATGACATATGGCCATGCATGCTAATAGCATGAGGACACTGAGCAAATTCTAGACTTCTGACTTACCTAAAGTTAATATTTTTTTAAATAAACAAATAACATCTTTAATTAAATAATTTAGTAACAGGACACTTAAACATGTGATCGTCATGAGTGGATCTCTGAGCTGATGTGGATGCGGGGCTAATTTGCATATTAATAGAACCGTATTCTAAATGCAAGGGTGTAGATTAATATTCAAGCTATTGTAAGGCATGAAGTTTTTCTTTTCAAGGAAAAAACTGTTAAAAAATGTCATTTTGGTGATCAAAGATGAGTTTTAAGAGATAACATTATTGACTACGGGGGACTTTAAGAAATGTGCATGAAAAGAGAGGAGAGGTGATAGCGAGGGGACAAAAACCAATAAAACACAGAAGTAGCCTACACTCATTATACAGATAAATAAATATTAAAATGTAAGTGGGTGAAAAATAAGAGTTAGAGACACATATAGGCTACATTACGGAAGCCCTGAACCGCAACGTAAAAACAAAAAAAATCTGTAAAAAAATAAATAATAATCTAGCATTTCGAGATTAAAGTCGAAATATTTGGAGATTAAAGTCGAAATATTTGGAGATTAAAGTCAAAATATTTAGAGAATAAAGTCGAAATATTTCGACTTTATTCTTACAGATTAAAGTCAAAATTAAGAGGATACAGTTTTCCATATAGAAGTTATTTGTGTGTGTGTGTGTGTGTGTGTGTGTGTGTGTGTGTGTGTGTGTGTGTGTGTGTGTGTGTGTGTGTGTGTGTGTGTGTGTGTGTGTGTGTGTGTGTGTGTGTGTGTGTGTGTGTGTGTGTGTGTGTGTGTGTGTGTGTGTGTGTGTGTGTGTGTGTGTGTGTGTGTGTGTGTTGAAAAGAAATGCGTTCGTGAAGTCGAACTGATCTAAACAAAATAGTAGCTTTTTACTTTTATCTGGGCTTTCAACAAAAGGAAATTCTACAGGTGCTAATCTACCAACAAGCATTTTGGCGTTGCCTATAGACAAGCACAAAGACTCCGCCGGAGTAGGCACCACTATCCTGGTCCAAACTTTATGTGGCACGTTGACTCGAAGGCTACACTGTAAAATATTTCCAGACTTTCAAAATATTTAACTGTGTTTTTTTTTACAGTAAAATACTGTTTTAATTGTTTTACTGTAATATCACAGTAATGTGGATTCGCTCACTGACTATTAACTATCTGCTGTGATATGACAGCAAATTACTGTAAAAAAAATAGGCTATTCAGCTGTGAGAACGAAGACCCCACCCAGATAGCAAGCACAGTTGGGCCAACGGCTTTTTCTGTATGGGCCAGCCTGAGCCTCGGCTGAAAGCAGTTGTACTGCTGTCAGGTCCATATTCGGTGTAGCTGTATTTACCTTCGGTTCGTTTTGTCACAAGCGGGCCACTACTCGAATTAAGGAACTCAGCCGTCTGAAAAAAATGTTTTGGCGGTTCAATCCTGAGGATCATCCAGCAGACCATTTAGTTTCCGAGAGGAATTATTCAGCTGAAAAAAAACGTAATTTAATTTATTTATTGTTCTATTGTTGTTTGATGTTTTAATCTTTTTGTAAAAGATAAAATCGTTTTTTTTTATATCTAGATGGTTTGAAATGATAATTAGGCCCACCCATTCGGTCGCGGAGGTACGGTTGATTAGAAGGCCTAACGTTACTACGGTCTCATTTTAGGATTATTGTGTATATGTTTTATTAGAAAAACTGCTGAGCTGTATCCAGTGCACTGTAATGTTGGCTAATTAAGTGATATTTAGTAGTTATATTCCATTTTGTTTGCTAAAATTTAGTCAGTCAATTCGTCTTTTTCAACGAGTCTTTTTTAGTAATCGAATCACAGGAGTCGGACTACGCTTTCTGCGCCATAGTTCTCTACACAGGCGACTCTTTGATTTGATTCACTAACATTTCAAAAGAGTCATTTATTTGTGAATCGAACTACGCTGACCACCACTCTGTTGCTGCATTAGCTATAGCCGCGGAGACAACTCATTGTACAATCTGAAATTAAAAATAAGATTTATTTTGTCGTAACACTCCTGTGGGGAGCTCCGAAACGGAAAAGCGTTATAGATAAGTGCTCGTCTTGTGTTCTTGAATGTAACGTTAACGTAATTTGCTTTAGAGCAGGTGCACTTTAGAGTGAAAGAAAAATATTAAAGCGTATCACTGTATAATGATTAATGATATAATGATTAAAATGGTAGAACTTAAAGCTGCCGTCGGCAACATTTTTTTGATCATATTCAGTGAAATCGGCACTATAATCTGACAGAACAACATAAATAAAGTGGTTTTAGCAAAAATCCACCGCTCCCGGATCATCAGCGCAGGGGGGTGTGAGATCTGACTGTCAATCACAGGTTGTGCACACGCCACCCTTTGTGCACGTTACAATCACATGCACACGCCTGAAGTTCGCGCAGTAATGAAGAGTGATGGCGGAAAAGATTCCAATTCCTGTACAGACACAAACAATGAGAATAAGACAGACTGCAGCAAGACTTGCTACTCCTTTAAATAGTCAGTAATACTGCTATAACATTTATAGTGTAATTGAGAACGGAACCTTTTTAACCTGCTGTTCATTAAGGAAGAGTTTAGGTAGAGAGGAAGAGGAGAATCCATGAGCTGATTCATGAGCTGATTTTTGATGCGGCTAATAATCCAGTTTGACCTCTGAACTGTGACTCATCTTTGGCTGTTTTACATGCATCAGTTTTGATGGATTTATTCAGTACTTTATTACATTGGAAATAGTTTTATTTAGAGGTAAAATCAGACTGTGAGGTTCATAAAAAGCAGGACAGGAAGTAGCTCTTTACCTACAAACTAAACACACATTGAACAAATGGCCCCTTTCATGCAAAAGCTGTTTGTCCATCCAGCAGATCAAACCACTTTTCTGAAGAAACCCGACCGCAGCAGTTTCAGTTTGACTCAATATGAGCTGCTAGAGTTTTAAATATGGATATTCAATTAAATAATAAAATCAGTAAGATAATTTTTCATGTAAGGATGAATGTAAGGAGATTCACACAGTATTCCACTCTTTTATTTTTACGTAATTAATACAGTCAGACACATTATCTATGTTGAATGATAAAGATGAAGATTGTTGTCCTATTAAACAGTTTGTGTGTGTGTGTGTGTGTGAGAGAGAGAGAGAGAGAGAGAGAGAGAGAGAGAGAGAGAGAGAGAGAGAGAGAGAGAGAGAGAGAGAGAGAGAGAGAGAGAGAGAGAGAGAGAGTTGTGGTTGATGTTGAGGTTGATGTTGAGTGTTTTGAGCAGATAGGGTTGTCCTGTTCCAACTATACAAGCATTAGATCAGACACTGAACTGGTGAAGAAAATGTTTCATATGTTTGTTATGTTCTGTTTGTACTGGAGGTGTCCAACTGGTAAGTTTTAAAAACAGTTTATGGCTTAATAATATCTCACATTTGTTTCAGAACAAAGTGACAAACTGCTATGGTTTAGATTAGACTATTTACAGTACACTTGTTATCGCAGATCAAATCAAACAAAGATTTTATTTTGAGACATACATTCAGGTCTCTGGTTGTCAGGAATTTTTTTAATTGTAATTTTCATGCCTGGAAAAGGCATGGAATTATATTAAAATGTTACATGTCATAGAGAATATTGGAAATGATAATGAAGAAACTCGAACAGTGGAGGCACAGAAATGAAATGATCCATTCTCCCGCTTTCAAAACATGGACCTTTTTTTGTGATTTTATATTTATTAGTTTCATACAAAATGGACAAATGGAAATTCATGCCCAGTTATCATTAAAATGATTTTAAAATACTTCTGCATTAATCATGAATGACAACAAATATAGTAAAAATTAATTTGTCAAAACACAATTGATTTTTACTTTCAAACAACTGATTTAATTCTTCGCAAACCATTAGTAGCCTTAATCTGCATAAAACATGTTTCTGTTTGTTCTCAAGATGTGTTTGGTGCTGATGAAGTGAAGTCAGTGTCAGTGATGGAGGGGGATTCAGTACTTCTAAACTCTGATGTCACTGAAATACGTGAAGACGACGATATACTGTGGAAATTTGGAGCTGAAAACTCTCTCATAGCTAAAATCAATAGAGAGACACAAATCTTCTCCACATATGATGATGATCCTGATGGGAGATTCAGAGACAGACTGAAGCTGGACGATCAAACTGGATCTCTGACCATCACAAACACCAGAACCACAGACTCTGGAGAATATAAACTTGATATATTTGGAGCTGAACATTCATCAAAAACATTCAGTGTTTATGTCTATGGTGAGAGTTAATTTGTCCAAACGTGAGTTCAGCAAAAGTTAAAGAGATTCATCCCACAAAAAAATGGTCCCGTGTATCATCACCTTGAGACCTTTGTTCATCTTCAGAACACAAATTAAGATATTTGTGACTTTTGATTAAATCTGAGAGCTTTCTGAAGCATAGGCAGCAACGTCATTGCAACTTTCAAGGCCCAGAAAGGTAGTAAAGACACTGTTAAAATAGTCCATGTCTAATCTCTTCTCTTCTACATCATTCTCCTACGCTTTTACCGTACTGTAGTGAACACAGTACAACACTTCCAGGTTTTACGTCAGAACGGCAGCTCACTATTACGTCAACAGCGTAGGAGAATGACATGGAAGAGAAGAGATTGTTGAATAAAGACTTTATTTTTGGGGGGTCTTGCAACCAAAAAGTATTCTCTTCACTTCATAACATTAAGGTTGAACCACTGGAGTCACATGGACTATTTTAACAATGTCTTTACCTTTCCGGGCCTTAAAAGTTGCAATAACATTGCAGTCTATGAAGGAGTCAGAAACCGCTCGGATCAAAAATATCTTCATTAGTGTTCCGAAGATGAACGAAAGTCTCACGGGTTTGAAATGACAAGAGAGTGAGTAATTACTGACAGAATTTTCATTTTTTGGGTGAACCTAATACTTTAAGATATTTTTTATGAAATCTAAGAGATTTCTGTCCCTCCATTGCCAGCTACACAACTACCACTTTGACGCCTCAAAGTGTTCATTGAGAGATCATATAACTAAATAAAAATTAATCTTCATGGTACTTGCAGAAGCTCAAACGAGCTGCATAACACGAGAATGAACTGCAATGGTTCTTGAGGAAGCTTCACTATCGGTCGATCTCTTGCGTAGCTGTCAGTGGAGGGACAGAAATTGTTTCGATTTCATTAAAAAGATCTACATTTGTGTTTTGAAGATAAACAAAATCTTACAGGTTTGGAACATGAGGGTGTGTAAACGATGAGATCATTTTTAGGTGAACTATCCCTTTAAGCTCACTTCGCTGAATTTATGGCATAAGGTTGATTTTCCACAATATGAATTATGACTTTTCCCCCGTTTACTTAAAAAAACTAACAAAGACAAAATGGAAGCCTAGGAGTTTTTGGACGTTTTAACAGCAGAAATGTAATGCTTAATTTATTATATAAGAACATTACACAAACCTTACATTAGTTTTTATATAAACACTTACATTAATTTTTCTGATGAAATCTGTGAATTATTTGATCTGTAAAGTTGTTTAAATAATTTGTTTAAGTGTTTATGGTGTCCAAAGCGACAAAGTTAAATATAACTTAACACAGAAAAGGTTAGTGGGTGACTCACTGCCATTTTGTGAGTCTCACTGTAACCCAGATTTTTGCATTTCTGCTGGAAATAAATTCTGGTTCTGTTTATTCTCTCATATTTCCTAGCTCAACTGCGCACTCCTATCATCACCAGAGATTGTTCTTCATCATCATCATCATGTTCACTGGTGTGTTCATCAGTGTTGAATGTGTGTGATGCGACTCTCTCCTGGTACGCAGGAATCAGTGTATTGTCCAGCATCAGTGTGTGTGATCTCAGCATCAGTCTCTCTCTACCTCTGGAGGTGGAATATCAGGATAAAAACACCTACAGCTGTGTGCTGAACAATCCCATCAGCAACCAGACCACACATCTGGACATCAACACACTCTGTCACACATGTGCAGGTACCACAGCACTGATGATATATGTGTGTATTTACTGACCTGATCTGTGTTTCCCAAAAGCATTGTAAGCCCAAGTTGATTGTGGAGACCATTGCCACCAGTGTTCTCTGTGATCAACTTATCTTACAATGCTTTTGGAAACGCAGCCCTGATCTCTCACATTCACTCACATTAATGACTGTCTCTCTTTAGCTGTTACAGCACTGCTCCCCCATACTCTTTCACAGTCTCCTTCTCGTCCTCCAGTCTCAGTGTCTCTGATAGTGTTGATCTCTGCTGGATCTCTGATGATTGTTGTTATAGTCGTGATCTTCTGCATCTGCAGGATATGTAGAAAAACAGGTCAGGAATTCAATTATTAACTAATTTTATATATACAAAACTCTATATAAGAATGCAAGCTCTGTTGTTTTTAACTCATCTCTGTATTATTGTTAAAGCAGTTCAGACCCAGGAGGAAGACAGAACTGATTCAGCATTGTGTAAACCGACAACACGTAAAAAGGTAAGATCCTTCATGACTGTGTTGCAGTCAGTTAGTCAGATTGAAGTTTGCTGCATCAGACGGTCAGTGAACAGACCTGTGAATAACAATCCATCCATTATTATTATTGCCTTGGGTGCCGATTAAAAAATGTGTTTTAAAGCATGTTTTTATTTACATTAAGTGTATGTACTGTTTGCAACTAAAGTTAATTAGCATAAATCGAAATGTATTAGCATAGAAAAGTATTTAATTTGCAGCGGCTGTTTTGTCGTGTTCAATGTAGACACGGTGTCTGTACCCAACCGTCAGTACCTAACATTCTACCACCAACATTTGTGTTAGCGGAAGATTATTATTTATTTTTTTTTTACCTTGGTCATACATGTTAGTATGACATACAAACGCTATGGTCATACGTGATTTCATCCATCGCGGGTTAAAACAATATACTTGTGGAATGCTTGTCCTTCTCTAATTGCGCTCTTTTATTTACCACAGAATTTTTTTTCCCAACATGAAAATATACATGGGCGCTTCTTGAAGGGCCCTTCATCCACCATAACTATTACTTACATTCACTTAATTTTTCTTAATCACAAAGTGCAAGTTATCAGCCTTTTATTTTGCAGGAATAAATGCCATGAACAAAACATTCGAACCTATAGGTCTGTCATATAAAATATACACACATATCACTGCATGAACTAGCTACATATTGGCACACAGTCAGAGCCGGTCCGAGCCTTTTGGGGGCCCTAATCAGAATTTGATTTTGGGGCCCCCTCCCACTACGCGAAGTCACCTGTGCTTGACGATTATTGACAAAAATGTCACGCAATAATGATACATTAAAAATGAATACAATGAGGTTATGTATTAATACAAAATAAATACTTAATTAAAAATAGATGTCTACTTAAAAAAGTTTTAACTTTTACTTTACTCTTTTACTAACTCTTTGAAACTTCTTAAAACAAACTGTCTCAAAACATATAAAATAAATTATCTGCTAAAATAATGACAAAACTGAGAAATCAGAAACATAATAAGAGCAAGGGTTCAACAATGACAATTATTGTTGAAAACTGTAAAAATATTATTATTTCTCAACTGTCTCAATACAGGCTAACTGTCCTCAAAATCTTTTTTATTATTATTATTGTAACAGACTTTGTTGGATTGTACATGACAGAATCCAACAAAGTCTGTTACTATAATACCGGTAATGATGTACTGGCGCTCGTTGTTGTTACGTTTTGCGTGGAAGCAAAGGCAGTAGGCGGATCTAAATGCAGCAGTAGACTTTAATAATACAAACTAGGGAAAACTCAGAACAGGCAAGACACTCGAAAATACATACATTCAATCAATAACTGACCAAGAACAAAAGAGCAGACAGGATTAAATACACAGACGGGATGAGGGAACAAGACACAGCTGGGGCAAATCAGAACACAGGTGAATAAACTGAACACTAACAAGGAGCGGGAAAACTGGGAACAGGACTGAACCAAATACACAATGACGGGGAAAACTCAGGGAAACAGATACAGAACAGACATGACTATAACATTATCCCCCCCTTCCATAAGGCGTGTCCCCGCGCCGAATAAACATCAAATAGGGGCGGGAGGGTGGGCGCCCTGAAGGCTGACGAGGGCGTGGCTTGCCCGGAACAGGAAGCCTCCAGGGCGGAGCAGGACGTGACGGCGGCCAGGGCGGAGCAGGATGAGGCGAAGGCCAGGGCGGAGCATGACGTGGTGAAGGCCAGGGTGGAGCATGGCGTGGCGAAGGCCAGGGCGGAGCATGACGTGGTGAAGGCCAGGGTGGAGCATGGCGTGGCGAAGGCCAGGGTGGAGCATGGCGTGGCAAAGGCCAGGGTGGAGCATGGCGTGGCAAAGGCCAGGGCGGAGCACGATGAGATGGTGGCCAGGTCGGAGCAGACTCAGACGAGGATGAGGACCATGTCGACGTCGTCTCCATGGCCCTCACGGAGTACCTTCTGCCCCCCCCCAAAAAATACTTGGGGAAATCCTCGGGAGGAACCTCCAGGTGGTAAAAGGGTTCCGGGCAAGCCTCCCGGAGCTTGAAGGGCGCAGGCAGGACGAGGCGCAGAGGCGGGGCCGGCAGGGCGAGGCGCAGAGGCGGGGCCGGCAGGGCGAGGCGCAGAGGCGGGGCCGGCAGGGCGAGGCGCAGAGGCGGGGCTGGCAGGGCGAGGCGCAGAGGAGGGGCCGGCAGGGCGAGGCGCAGAGGCGGGGCCGGCAGGGCGAGGAGTCTGGGAACGCCCTTCGGAGCCTGGCGAGGCAAACGAGACCTCCTTCTCCTCCTGCGACGACGCGTCACTGGGCTTGACTCACTTGACTCGGTAGACTCACTTGACTCGATAGACTCACTTGACTCGGTAGACTCACTTGACTCGGTAGACTCACTTGACTCGGTAGACTCACTTGACTCGGTAGACTCACTTGACTCGGTAGACTCACTTGACTCGGTAGACTCACTTGACTCGGTAGACTCACTTGACTCGGAAAGCGCGGTCTCACTTTACTCGGCGGCACTTGACTCGGCGGCACTTGACTCACTTGACTCGGCGGCACTTGACTCACTTGACTCGGCGGCACTTGACTCGGCGGCACTTGACTCACTTGACTCGGCGGCACTTGACTCACTTGACTCGGCGGCACTTGACTCGGCGGCAATTGACTCACTTGACTCGGGAAGCACGGTCTCACTTGACTCGGCGGCACTTGACTCGCTTGACTCGGCGGCAATTGACTCGCTTGTCTCGGGAAGCGCGGTCTCACTTGACTCGTCGGCACTTGACTCGGGTTCGTCGAGGCTGAAGCGACGTGCGGGTTCGGAAGACAGAAGCTCAGCCTCAGGCATGTCGATCTCGGCAGGAAGAAGCTCAGGCATGTCGGTCTCGGCAGGAAGAAGCTCAGGCATGTCGTGGAAAGCGGGCTCGACTCGGTTCACGTGAAGCGCAGGCTTGTGGAGCGTGGTCTCGGCTGAGCAGCTGAAGTGAAGCGCGGGCGCGACCGGGCTGACGTTAAGCGCAGGCTCTCGCAGCTTCTCCTCCACGCCCACAGTAAACGGGGAACCGCTCCACAACAGGGCCAGGTCAACGTACCATTCTAAAGATCCGTGAGGACCAGGTTCGGGCATCAGAGACCGGAGTGGTTCCGATAATCCTCCGCGGAAGAAGATCTTCAGGCCGTGGGTGTTCATTTGCGCGAGATATGCCAGCTCGAGGAATTCTGCGACATAATCCTCGATGGCGCGATTCTCCTGGCGAAGACGGAGGATCTGGACATCAGGACTCCAGGTAGGCATGGCTGCTAGATCCTAGTGGGTCAGTTATTCTGTTACGTTTTGCGTGGAAGCAAAGGCAGTAGGCGGATCTAAATGCAGCAGTAGACTTTAATAATACAAACTAGGGAAAACTCAGAACAGGCAAGACACTCGAAAATACATACATTCAATCAATAACTGACCAAGAACAAAAGAGCAGACAGGATTAAATACACAGACGGGATGAGGGAACAAGACACAGCTGGGGCAAATCAGAACACAGGTGAATAAACTGAACACTAACAAGGAGCGGGAAAACTGGGAACAGGACTGAACCAAATACACAATGACGGGGAAAACTCAGGGAAACAGATACAGAACAGACATGACTATAACAGTTGTGTGTATGCAAACTATTTTTTCCCCTCGGGGCTTGCCGTAGATAGGAATGGGTCGTGCGCACTTGGTACTGGAGTGTCGCGGGTTTTTTGGAGCAGTTAGTGATCTGATGTGTGGTATAATAAAGTGGAGAAGAGTTCAAACTGCTATGTTTATTATTTATTCAAACTGCTACCCTTACAACTAGATTTTTAAGTTCCCCTGCGGCTATTTTCTCCAACTTAAACCGATACCGTGGCTATGCGCAGTTGCGCAACGACTTGTCTATGCACTCGCGAGGTGTCTAGATTATGCGCAAGACTTGAACGCTGGCAGACACAGCAGCAGTTGTTGGCAGGTATATTGATCATGAAATCAGAATTTTCTTGTCTTGATTCATTAATTCATTCATTCATTAATTCATTCATTTATTATGTCACTTGTTTAAGTCATCTAAAAAAAATTTTTTTTAACTCGATTGGGGGGCCCCAAGCAGCCGCTTAGTTCGCTTATGCCTCGGGCCGGCCCTGCACACAGTCTGAACAGTGGCTGAGACCGAAATATCGAGACAAAATCAGCAGTTGTAAGCAGCTTAAATGAAGTTAGCATATGCTTCATATGGAGAGCTATATTGCGCTTCTCATTCCGTTTCTTCTGTTTTTTTTTTTCAAAAACCGAACTTCAAACTTATCGACGCCATTAGTTCATTGTTGAAGATAACTTTTGCCTGTTTGGTTTAGGTTTAATGGTTTTGGACTGCTGCGCGCTTCCTCAGCCCGCGGCCCTTGCATTAATGCTGCTCTGAATGTAGGCCTGCCTACATGACTTGCATGTATGATGTCATTTCCTCTAGCTTCTGTTCTTGTGCTTCTGTGTTGATGCTACATTGTGAAATAATCAGGAGGCATTCAGTTACGTAAATTGTAAAAGAAAAAGAAAATCTGTTCAACAAAATTAATTTCCGCTTGGACTGAATTTGAAGCAAAATTATATTATTAGCTTTTAAACTGGCGCATCAGAAAGTTCCTGATTGAGTTTGTGTTTCCTTACAGAAATCAAAGAAGGATGCTGTGTATGAAAATGTCCCCAAAAAACGATGATCAAATACTGTTTTGGATCTGATGTTTGAGTTAGTACTGCACACTGACTCACACCTTTTGACCACATTTATTCCAAGA